GTAAGTTTATATCTCACCATTCTGACTTTATCTCTCACAATTCTGCCTTTTTTTCTTGCAAATTAAATTTATATCTCGCAATTCTGACTTTTTTATATCTTGCAATTCAAACTTTTTTTTTATCTCACAATTGACCTCACAATTGTAAGTTCATATCTCGCCATTTTAACTTTTTTTCTCACAATTGTGGGTTTATATCTCAAATCTCACAATTCTAACTTTTTCTTGCAAGTGTAAGTTTATATCTCGCAATTCTGACTTTTATATATCTTGCAATTCTTTTTTTCTTGTAATTGCGAGTTTATATCTTGCAATTCAAACTTATTTTATCTCACGATTATTACCTTTTCCTCACAATTGTAAGTTCATATCTCACAATTCTGACTTTTTTTTATATCTCGCAATTTTGACTTTTCTCACAATTGTGGGTTTATATCTCAAAATTATATCTTTTTATATCTCGCAATCGCAAGTATATATCACAATTATATCTTGCAATTCTGACTTTTTTTTCTTGTGATAGCAAGTATATATATCTCGCAATTATAACTTTTTTATCTCTCACAGTTCTGACTTTTTTCTCAGTTTTTAAGTTTATATCTCGCAATTCTAACTTTTTCTCAATTGTGAGTTTATCTCACAATTCTGACTTTTTTTATATCTCGCAATTCTGACTTTTTTTCTCACAATTGTGGGTTTATATCTCAAAATTCTAACTGTTTATATCTCGCAATTCTGACTTTTCTCACAATTGTGAGCTTATCTCAAAATTATAACTTTTTTATATCTTGCAATTATAACTTTGTTCTCGCAATCGCATGTTTATATCTCGCAATTCTAGTTTTTTAGAATGTAGACGAGCGGAAAGGAAATGGAAGAAGGATAAGTTGCAGATTTCTTATATTATGCTGAGGGAATTCTTTGACTAAATTTCAGGAAGCAGCAAAAATGGCTAGAGCAAATTATTTTTCTGAAATTATAGTAAAATATTCCCACCAGCCTCGTGTGCTTTTTAATACTATTAACTCCATTTTAAAAGCCTTCAGTCACGGTTTGTCTTGAGTCTTCGGTTGCAAATTGTGAAAGATTTTTAAAGTTTTTTATTGATAAAATCGATGGTATTCGCTCTGCAATTGCACCAATGAAGTTAGATCTTGGAGTTGTTGCTGCTCCTTTAGAGCCCTAAAGATAATGTCGCTTTTGGAAATCACTGAGATCATGGGTGTGTTAAACGTCACTTCATCAACAAATGATGTGATCCCAACAAGTCTCTTTATAGAAGTTTTTGATAGTATTGGTTCATACATCTTATTAATCGTAAACAAAAGTCTGGCAGAGGGTTGTGTGCCACCGAGTTTGAAACATGCGGAAGTGGAGCCCTTGTTAAAGAAACCTGGCCTAGATCCATTTATACTTCTAAATTTTCGTCCAATTTCTAAACGTCCTTTTATTGCAAAAATCCTAGAAAAGGTTGTGTTTCATCAGCTCTCTTCTCTTTTTTAGCAGAGATTGACATAATGGATAAAGACAAAGTTTCAGGGTTCAGAACTGGTCATAGTACTGTATCTGCCCTTATTAGGGTATTAAATTATATTTTATTGGACGTTGACAATGGAAATTGTGTCGGTCTTGTTTTGTTAGACACACTGGATCATACCATTTTGTTGGAGCGTCTTGAGTGGTGTGTTGGGGTAAGTGGGGTGGCTTTACATTGGTTCCATTCTTACCTGGAGGGTAGAACTTTCACTGTAAAGATTGGGAATAATTGTTCTTTTTTTCTGCTCCTGTAAGTTATGGGGTACCTCAGGGCTCTATTTTAGGGCCGTTGCTTTTTTCTCTATACATGATTCCACTGGGCTCTATATTTAATAAATTTGGCATTTCGTATCATAGTTATGCTGATAACACGCAGATAAAAAGACTGAAATTGTGCTTTTTGGGGAAAAAAGCACATTGTTTACTCCAAAACCAAGTCTGGGCCAGTTTTCATCCTGTGTAAAAAGTCATGACACTAACTTCATAATTTTTGATTCTGAGCTCAAATTCTATCATCAAATAAACACGGTATTAAAAAATAGTTTCTTTCAATTGAGGAGGATTGCAAAATTGAAGTCAGTTTTATCAAAGAATGATCTTGAAAAAGTTACACATGCTTTTGTACTTTCACGCTTGGATTATTGTAATGCGTTATATGCAGGGGTTTGTCAGTCGTCCCTGTCCAGGTTACAATTGTTTAAAAATGCTGCGGCCAGACTGCTGACAAATACAAAAAAAAAAAAAAGAGACCATATAACTCCAAATCTGCCCTCTCTACACTGGCTACCAGTTAAACAACCAATTGTATTTAAAATTCTATTATTCGTTTTTAAAGCCATCAATGGCTTGGCCCCAGAGTGGTTTGTCAGTCGTCCCTGTCGAGGTTATAATTGGTTCAAAATGCTGCGGCAAGACTGCTGACAAATACTAAGAAAAGAGACCATATAACACCAATTCTGGCCTCTTTACACTGGCTACAAGTTAAACAACGAATTGTTTTTAAAATGTTATTTGTTTTTAAAGCCATCAATGGCTTGGCCCCAGAGTACATCAAGGATCTGTTAGTTATTCAATCCTCCTCAAGATCTAACTCGCAGATTATGCTCAAGGTTCCACGCACACGTCTTAAGTGTAGAGATGATTGAGCATTTTCAATTGTGGCCCCTAGACTATGGAATGATCTTCCTTTCTCTGTGTGTTCTTCGACCTCTCTGCAGATGCAGCTGACCTTCAAAGACCACATTGCAAAGACCGCTCGTAAGTCGCTTTGGATAAAAGCGTCTGCTAAATGACTAAATGTAAATGTAAATGTAAAATGTTCAAATCACGTCTTAAGACCCATTTGTACTCACAGGCATTTGATGTGTAATTTTACAGGTATTTACTTATGTATTTTAATTAATTGCTATTATTGTTTTTGATTTTCTTGTACAGCACTTTGGTATACTTTCATGGTTTTTAAGGTGCTTTATAAATAAATGATTGATTGATTGATTTTATATCACAAATCTGAATTTTTCTTATATCTCACAATTCTAACTATGTTTCACAATTCATACTTTTTTCTCGCAATCAGGAGTTATATCTCGCAATTCTAACTTTTTCTCACAATAGTGAGTTTATATCTCACAGTTATGATTTTTTCTTGCATTCGCAACTTTATATCTTACAACTTCTGACTTTTTTCCTCGTATTCGCAACTTTATATCTCGGAATTCTGTCTTTTTTTCTTGCAAACTTTTTTATTGTGGTTAATGTCAATTCAGATTTTGTAACTCTAAATTGTGATTTTATATCACAATTCTGAGAAAAAAGTCAGAATTGCGAGATAAACAGTCACAATTACCTTTTATTTTTTTTCTTCAGTGGTGGAAACAAAAACGCACAAACACAAAACAGACGCTTTCATTCAGTTTGATATATTTATATATATGCATGTATAAAATTAGACAGATATGTCTGTTTTCATATACAAAAGGCAAATAAAACAAGAAGAAAACACAGGAAGTGTGTAACAGGTGTTAGTCGATGAAGGCACTCTCATCCACAGTGTTCCAGTTAACATGATCATGTGATGCAATAGTGCTTCAGTCTGAATCAGAAACAGCGCAGGATTTGCAACCGCAGTACAGAATCAAACCAGCATGACAGGTATCATGGAATGTGCAGTACAAAAAATAATCTAGGCAAAAAAACATGACTCCAGCATCAGAAACGCAAAGGAATGATCCGTCAATCACAGCTGATTTTGGTCTCAATAGTGTTCAATAGTGTCAGAAATAAAAACAAAACTTAAGTTATGACATAAGATTTAAAAAAACAAAAACTTAAGACATAAAAGTGGAGTGTTTCAACTCAAATGGCAGAGATGCATTAAATGCGGAACGTACAGTCTAGTTGACTAAACTATCGCTGAAGACTGGGAATTTCTACACACCTATGCTAACAGGATTAGTGCTGTCTTGTTAACAAGCTAACTAGTCTAACCACTGAGACGTGCAAACCGTCCTCCTCCGTTTGGCAGCTTTTGGAGTGTTTGGGATCATGGACGCATGACGATTACCCATCATGGTCCATGATCCTCAGCTGTGGTTAGAAGGTCAGTTACATGCAGACGCAGATGCTGCAGTCGATCTCACGAACGCATGCGGATCACGTCTCACCACACGAACTAAACACGCTGGATTCACATCCGAAAATTCTACTTCTCTTTGGGACAATTAATGCAAAAAAATAAAAAATAACATCACAATGCAAATTCTCATAATCCAAAAATAATATGTAATGTAAATTGAAAGTATTTATACATACTGGTATTTGTAAAATCATGGTTTAATACAGTATGCCTAGTAAGAGCTTGATCAGCTGGTTCAGGTGTGTTTGATTCGGGTTGGAGCTGAACTCTGCAGGACACCTGAGCCCCGATCACACAGCGGGTTGATCCCGGAAAATTGCCAGAGTGCCTTCTGTGTGAATGCAATGATTCCGGGATGTGTGTGAACGCACGCTCATATTCCAGGAAAATCACTGGCAGTGTGAATGAACCAAAATCAATCGATCCCGGGACATATCAAGGCACACATTATCCGTGTGTTTTCCAGAATCTCTGTCTAATAGACAGGCTTCATTTTCTCCGCACAAACCGCATTTTGATTTAGTGGTGAAATGTGCATAAAAAAATGAAGCTTGACCTTTTAAAAATAAAAAAAACAAATGTAAAATAAGCACATTTCCCCCCAAAACTCTCAAAATATATTACTTGGATGGCAAAATATTGATGCATTTTTTAATGTTGATTTTTTTTTTTAAATATTACAGTACTGTAATTTAATACAGTAATGAGAATCATAATTAGGGTTGCAAAGGGGTGCAAAATTTCCGGAAATTTTCCAAAAAACCCTGGAATATTTAAAAAAATCCTGGAAAGTTTCAAAATTTCTGGAATGATTCCGAAATTTACTGGAAAATTTCCTTCTTTTTGCAACCCTAATCATAATTGTCAAAAAATATTGTCATAAAAAAATCAACTCATGGTCCTTTAGAAAGGCTTCATTTTCTCTATGCAAACTATAATTTCTTTGTTTGATAGATTTTTTGGTGAAATGTGACGTGGATGTGCACAAGAAAATAAAATAGGGAACTTGATCATTAACTTAAGAATAATTTTAAGAAAATAATAACTGAAAATAATGACAAAGCAAAAATTGGCACATAAACTCTCACGATCATTATGCAAAATCAAAATATATTATTTAAATGTCAAAGTATTCATGCATCAAGATAGTAATAATGTTGATTTAAATGCATTAAAAAAACTATTTTTGAATGTACTACAGTAAAAGAGTACTGTACTCCAGTCATGAGAATTTGTGCGATTGGGGGTGATCATATCATGACAATAATGTCATAAAAAAAACATTTTCTCTATGCAACGTCTATGTAGTTTGAGTGGTGAGACATGCGGCGTGTGAGATCCGTCATCTACAGCTGCGTTATTTTACTCTAGAAACTCACATTGACATAGAAACACACACAGAAGCAGAAGAAAGAGTCTGTGGTCACGTGCCGTCGTCAGTCCAGTACTAACCCACTAACCCACCCGTCTGACCGGTCACGCCAGTCTCACAGGACCTCTGAATGACGTGAAGAAGAGATGCACATGCCACGGCGCTCTAGTTCTTGCGGATGTCTGCGTACACCACCGGCTCTATCTTGTGGAAGGAGGTCTTGCTGCCGGAGTGATCGAGCTGGGCGTAAATCACCGGCCCCTGAACACCAACCAGAGACACACAATGAGAGAGAAACACGTGCCTGACACGCGACACGCAAACACACACACGTCACACAGATGAGCGGCGCTCTTCAGCAGAGCGTGAATGTTTGAGTTTACACAAAGACAGCAGATGCTGATCGCTCAAGCTCCACATACCATAAACACACACACAACAGAAAACACAGCGCAAACGCGAATATGCTTGCTTTCACGGGAAATGTGTTGCGTGTCAACAACTCACTCAGACTGAAAGGAGAAATATCAGATAAAGACAAAAAAACCTGTTTCCCCATTCAGAATCATGATATTACAACAACAACAAATACTATTACTATTATCACTCAAAATATTATTTGTTTTAATACAAATAAATATATTACTATTGTATTGTAAAATAAAGAATATTTAATAATAATAATAAATGAATAATTATTAACATTATTTAATAGAACAACAGTAAAATTATTAATAATAATATTTATATAATATTTCGAAATTAATAAAAATGTTACAGTGATTAATTTCTGGAGTAACAATGAGACAAATTATTTTATAGAATTATTAAATTAAAATGGAAGAACGGGTGCTCAACCAACTGTAGAGGAGGTTCACCTCAAAATAATCAAACTTTCAACTGTAGAAAAAGAGAAACACTCACTTTAAAAACATATGTAAATTAATTTCTTTAATAACAATGATGTTTCAGGGACCTTTAATAGGCTTCCCTGATGAGTCTGATGTCTAATGACAGCCTTGAAGTTTGATGGAACTTTTTTTTTTAAAGAAATAGTCACATTTATGTTTGTAGAGTGCGTGTTGCACTATTTTCTAAAATATAATTATTTTTAAAAAATTGACATTTACAATTATTGTTGTTGAGTCTTTCCAGTTGGTGTCGCTGTTGTTGGGCATTTCTGAAGGTGAGTGCTTGAATCCTAATTTAATTACTGTGTAAAAGTGTTAATTAAACTAATAACTGAGCACATACTGTATAACCAAAAGCAGCATCTGGAGTCTCAGTGGGAAACGTGCATGTGCATGCTTAAGTGAATAAGTGAATAACAAATTAAATTTAGGGCCGTTCAAATTCAGAGGCTGCATTCATGACTGGCTGAACATGTTGTGACAGGTTGTGAAGCTTGTTTAGTTAACAGACTGTTGAATCTCTCTTTTACAAATGTTACTGCCGCTGGTCACAGCCAGGGAACAACACCCTTCAGCCTCACAGGATGCAGCCTCTGAATTGGGACAGTTTTTCTGTTAATTTCAGGAGCCTAACAGACAGAAACATCGTGAACATTCAGAGACACAGTTACACACCCATGACATGAGGGTGAAAACATACTGATGTGAACACAGCATCAGCACTGATGTGAACACACACACACTAGCCCACACAGACACTCACACGCACACGCACTCACAAACACATTCACATTCACACTCGCTCACATACACTCACTCTTGATCACACACACATTCACACTCGCTCACACATACACACACACACACACACACAAAATCACACTCGATCACACACGTGCTCACATACACTCATACTTGCTCTCACACACATTCACACTCACTCACACACACATTCACACTTGCTCACGTACATTCACACTCACACACACACATTCACACTCAATCACACATTCGCTCACATACACTCATACTTGCTCTCACACACATTCACACTCACTCACACACACACACACACACACATTCACACTCACACACACACACACACATTCACTTTCTCGCACTCGTTCACACACACACACACACACTCACACACATTCACACTCGCTCACGCACTTTCACTCGCTTACGCACATTCACACTCGCTCTCATACACATTCACACTCATTCACGCACATTCACACTCACTCACGCACATTCACACTGGCTCTCGCACACTCACACTCGCTCTCGCTCTTGCTCTCACACACATTCACACTCGCTCTCACACGCATTCACACTCGCTCACGCACTTTCACACT